TAATAATAACATTAATAATAACAATAATAATAATAATAATAATAACAATAATAATAAATTAAGAAATATGGAATAAAAAATACCACCTGCATGATATCTAATTAATTATAATTGCTAATAAATTCTAATTAATTTATGTAAATTTCTAATTTGGGCCCGCATTCCCGGCTGGGAATTCCCAGAATTCCCGGGATCAATTCCCGGCTCTCACTTGGTGCTCGCCGCCGCTTTTTTGGGATTCAGGACTCGCTTCTTCACCACCTTCTTCACCTGCAGCGGGAAAAACGGGAAAATCCATCGGAATTCCCGGCCGGAATTCCCAATCCCAGTTGGAATTCCCAATCCCAGTTGGAATTCCCAGTAAAAATTCCCAATCCCAGTTGGAATTCCCAGTAAAAATTCCCAATCCCAGTTGGAATTCCCAGTAAAAATTCCCAATCCCAGTTGGAATTCCCTCCTGGAATTCCCAATCCCAGCCACAATTCCCGGCTGGAATTCCCGGAATTCCTGTACCCGTCCCCGCGCTCTCTCAGCCACGCTGACCCAGAACAGTTCCCAGAGTAATTCCTGGAATTCCTGGTGTTATTCCCGGTGTTGTTATTCCCGGTGTTGTTACTCCCGGTGTTGTCATTCCCAGAATTCACGCTGTTGTTATTCCCAGTGTTATTCCCAGAATTCCCAGTGTTATTCCTGGTGTTGTTATTCCCAGTGTTGTTATTTATTCCGGGTGTTGTTTGTTATTCCGGGTGTTGTTCCCTGTCCCCCGCGCGCTCTCTCGGCCACGCTCAGCCGGACGCGTTTCCCGGTGTTATTTGTTATTCCCGGTGTTATTCCGGGTGTTATTGAGGGTGTTGTTTGTTATTCCGGGTGTTGTTCCCGGTGTTGTTACCTGTCCCCCGCGCGCTCTCTCGGCCACGCTCAGCCGGACGCGTTTCCCGGTGTTATTCCGGGTGTTATTGAGGGTGTTGTTTGTTATTCCGGGTGTTATTCCCGGTGTTGTTACCTGTGCCCCGCGCGCTCTCTCGGCCACGCTCAGCCGGACGCGTTTCCCGGTGTTATTTGTTATTCCCGGTGTTATTCCGGGTGTTATTGAGGGTGTTGTTTGTTATTCCGGGTGTTATTCCCGGTGTTGTTACCTGTCCCCCGCGCGCTCTCTCGGCCACGCTCAGCCGGACGCGTTTCCCGTGCAGCAGCAGCGGCGCCGTCTCCCCGAACTTGACGGCGGCCATGACGGCTTCCTTGAAATTCATCTCCAGGTAGGCCTGGAAAAACCGGAATTCCCGAGGAATTCCCAAAGGAATTCCAGGATTGAGCGGGATGGGGGATGGGGGA